CTGCGCCCGGTGCGGGTTTTACAGCGAGGCGTTGGCGCGGCGTTTACCGGGCCAGTTTGGGAGGCCGCTGGGGAAATAACCAGGTCTCCCTCACGCCGGAACGAGCAGTGGGACCCCGTGCTAGGAGGCTTGCGCCGTAAAATTGCTTGGTCTTCCCAAAACAGGAAGTGCCCAGTGGACACGTGGGGCGAGGAGGGTTCGAACTTACGAGGTCTCGGTGTGTGTTCCTGGGAAAGAAAAGGGTATCCAGATGCCGGAGACTGACGAGGGGAGCTCCAGTGTGCTGAGCACTGAGCTGCAGGCTTGGGAGAACACTGTGCAACAGTGTATCAACCCCAGAGGAAACACTGGCCCCTCTGGACAATTTTTAAGTTGGTTGATACAATTCCTGAGAGAGCCTGGAGGACTTTGCTGTAAACTGACGTTAGCATTTCACCCAGAGGGTCGTCCGGGCAGTTCTGGATTAGAGTGGAGTTGACTCGCGGTAACCGTTGGTGAAAATACCCATTTATCGTAGACTCACTTGAACAGGACAGATAAGGGGCAGAAGAGGCCGCCACAGCTCTTAGGCCGCTTAAGAAACCGGGCCCTGGAGCTGGATGTCTTTTGGGGTGCGGCTCTGCCACTCTTGGGCGTGGGGTACACGGATTTTCACAGATTTTCCCCATTGTCACAACATTAGTTAACAATACAGAGGATGGGAAATCAAGGGTTGAGGAAGGGGGGGGGGGGGGGGGGGAGCTTGAGACTTGTCTTCTTCCTTGGTTGTACATCTGCTGTGCTCAAAGGCCGGTAAACGTCACCTCATTTTCTGTAAACTGAAATGCTGGCAACAGCCTCCATTGTTTGTTGAATAATGAAATGTATTCCTTTCCAAATTCAAGCTTCTTGTTCCTGCTCCAACCCAGAGTACATAATGTTTGTTGTTGTTATTATTATTATTAATACTATTTAAGGGCTTTGGTCATTGTATTAACTATAATAATTTTCCTGGCCTAATTATAAGGCATTATGTATTTTCATAATGCCTTACAACCGCAGCTTGTGTGAGGAGATGTGTGTAAACAGGCCAAGAGTTGAATACGATGGACACTTTGCATACTTATTTTAATCGCAATAAAATATATATTTGGTTCTGGGTTAATACCAATACTCAATGATTTATCTACCTGGTCCCTAATTTCTGAGATATACAAGTTAGCTAGAACTATAACTAAGCCAGTGGTTGTATTTCCTATTCTCATCCAAGAATGCTTTGAGTGACACTAATAATGTACAACCTGCCTAATGCATGGATACAGTTGGACTCACCTCAACAACTGATTTGAGAAACTCAGGAAGAAGCCTTTCTTACCCTTGAAAACACCGTGGTTGCATGAAATTCCTTAACTGGGACATTGGTGTATTCTGTTTGCTTAAGGCAAATAATAAATTGTTGTCCTTTTTTGAAGACTGAAATGGGTCTGGAGTGATGGCTAAG